GAGCAGAAAGGTCTGAACAATATCAGTCACATTGGTTTTAATCATGTTATTGAAGTAGATATTTTTTTAGGAAGCTTTTTTCTTTTTTAAAATAAAAATTTTGAATACTTTTTTTGGTTATCTATTTTTAAAAAAATTTAATTTTTTAAATTAATATGTTTTTTATATTTTTAAATTACTTTAATATGCTTAACTTAAAAATAATTTTTTCAAAATTAAAAAATATTATTAATATATCTTTCTAAATAAAAAATACTTTAAAAATAACCACAATTATACTCCAATCACACCCTTATTCATATCAAGATGCAACAAAACCTCCATCTTATTTTTTCTTGTCTCTTCTTCTCAACTTCTTACCGCACTGAGCCAAGCCAGCTAACACTTAACTTCGCTAGTAAAGAATAATGCACAGCATAATGGCAGTCCTTTTTACTAAAGAATCAACAGGGGAGGATTATGATTAGCGGACCCTGCCTTCCTTCATATGTGCTGGTCCTTAATCATAGCATCGCCACTGGAGTGGCACTGGCACTGGCACTTGTATATTTTACGCTGAAGTTTTGTCTATAGCCCACCGACTGTAGATGCTATGTAGGTGCACCGCCTCTTTTGTGGTGGGCCATGCTGTGGTGTCTCGCCGTGATAGCTGCCCTCGAATCAACTTGAATGCAAGATAATCTTCGACTATCTGTAATGTTAAGAGTTTGGTGTGGTTCTTAAAGAGGCACGTTTTCTTTATTTGATTTCTCGATTCAAGTCTCGTGAATGGTATTTTTAAAAAAGATTAAAATTTTTTTTAATGAATTCATCAAGTCAGTATAAAAGATGTGCTGTCAAAGCTATTAAAAAAAATCAATTTTAATCAATATACAAACTTACATGATAATACTCTATAATGAAAAGAATAATAAAAAAAATTCTTCCACCTTGTCGAAGGATTTGAACAATAAACACTTATAAGTGGACTTAGAGATGCAAGTCATACAGATAAACTGATGACAACGAGAGCTGAATTTGTAAGATTTCCAGCAACGACACTGTAACCAGGCCTCGCAGAACAACGCCCTTTTTTGGATTATGTCCTAAAAGCCTGTTGAGTGAGATGGATCCTTAAACTTGGTTGACGTGTGTCGCCCAAATTGGTAAAGAGTTTCCAAGAGAAAAAATGTTTTTTTATAAAGAAATTAGCATAATAATAATAAAATTTTCATAAAAATATTATTTTAATTTTAATTTGATGATATAATACAGTTTGATCAAGTATAATATGTTAAACTCTAATCTTTTATCTTAACATGTTGATGGATCATATCTAGTTGTATTAACCAATCAATAATTTTATATAAAAATTATAATTTTATAAAGTATTTCTTTCAAATATATTTTATAAGTTAATATTATTTTTATCCAACTTATAAATTTAAAAATAAATATCAATTAAAATCTTAAAAGTTATTATTCACATAATAGTAGGTGTTTTTGATTAGTCAAGTATGAGTTTGTCATAACTAAATACGAATTTACCCCAAATAGATTATATAAACGGTCTACAAATGTATTTATAGGCTAGTATGACAGGTCTGACATCAAGAGAAGGTTGAACCATATCATACTAAAATAATAATTCAAAAAAATTATAATTTTTTATATAACTATTAAATCATACTTAAATATTTTATAGGAGCTTTTAGAAGTCACATCCTTTATATTAGTTATTATGTCACCACAGAAACATTCAAATGTCTAGTTACTAAAAATCTTGATGAGAACACTTGATATTTTAAAATTTTTCTTGTTATCTTCAAAACTAGTCAATTTGTTAGATCATAAATAACATGATTTGATAATGTTATATTTCATAAACATGATATTTATTAATATAATTAGGCCATAAATAATGTAATTTGATTATATGATGTTTAAGAAAATATGATATTTAATTAATATCACTATTTTAAAATACAATATGATAAACTATATTATTTCACTAAAATTTTTGATACTATGTTAATTTGTCAATTATTTTAAATTTTATGTGCTATACCAATTCATATAAAAATAAAATAAAATAAAATTGGAAGATGATCTTTGTTTGTATCCCAATCCTTTTGTTTGATCATCTTTTTTCCGTAACATGATCAAGGAAGAGGTTCATTTTATAAGATCCCACAGAACTCGCCTACATTATGATCATTAATGGCTTAATTATGGGCCCTATTTTGATTGACCTATCACCATCGCAGAAGTCCTTGCAGGTTTGTAGTTTTTTCTTCATAACAAACGTCTAATTACAACAATCCATTACCCTATTCTTTCTTTTTTGCCGGGAGATTGATGGTCGGAGAGCAGTGGCATTCCGTAGCCACGGTAGTGCGTGGGCATGCATTGTTTTTTACCTGGAGATAAGTAAAAAAATTAAAAACACTCTCGCTGCACATGTAGGTTTGGTGGAGCAATGAAATGTATTTTTCTTCAACAAATGATTGTTATTGTAATAATAATTGGTTTTTAAAGTAAAGTTTTAAAATATATTAAAATAATATTTTTTTTATATTTTAAAATTTATTTTTAATATCCGCATATCAAAACAATTTAAAAATATATAAAAAATTAATTTAAAGTTAAACAAATTCAAAAAATTTAAAAAATATAATTGAATCATGTTATTAAGTTAGGATAGGATTAAAATAAATTAAAATAAATGTAGTGTTTGACATTGTAATAAATGTTAATTTTTAAAGTATTTTTTATTTGAAATTATATTAAAATAATATATTTTTTATTTGTGATATCAATAGATCAAAATAATTCATAAAAAAATACTTTGAAAAAAAAAATCAATTTTTTTAATAAAAACATGTTACAATTTTATTGAGATAAATCTTTGTTGATAATTGTATTGGATGAGAATGGCTGAAAGATATGATTAAAAGGATAGGATATAATAGAAATCTTAACTACTGTATCTAATATAAAGGAATTGGTTTAATAGTTAGGGTTTGCATTGTTTTCTTGGTGATATATATATATAAATTCAAAATTAAGTGACTGCGAGGGGCACGTAGAGTTTTGATGAATCTTTAAATTTGGATACGACTCGTTTACACGTAAAGAAGAAAAGAAGTCCTACGCAAAAGTGAAGATTAATTCTACATGTTGCGAGAGCAGTAATTTAGGTGGTTAATTATTTTCAAGACAAAAAAAAGCAGCGACTGACAGGGCTTTCCATGAAAACTCATGAAGTTGATATTGCTAGCATGCACCTAGCTAGCTCTTCCAAGAGTAATGGCTTCTTCTTCAATCCCTCGTCGAAACCTTGTCCGCATGCATCGAAATGCCATTACAAAGCCTGTCGAGGATTTGCCCTCTCAACCTCCTCGATAACTCCATTGACAGCAAATTAACCCCAGTTTTTCTTACGAGTACGCTTCGGTTGAGTAAGAACACAAAATTCTGCTCGCATTTTACACGGCGAGAATATCATATCTTGAATGTCTTGGTCTGGATTGAAACGTTGCCATACCAGGCACGGTTCATGCTCACACAAATGGTAGCTCCGAAGTCCATGTAGCCCAGAGTAGAGTAAAAGGGAGTGTGTGGAGGGGCCGAGTTTACTTTAACGAGAATTTCCTGCTGGATGAATGATGGTAACGTGCTATCCTCCTCTTGTTGGCCCATTTGTTTCCTTTCCTTGTGTTTAAATTGACCTCCTTCCTACCTCTTAATTAATCGAAAGCTAGCTTTATAATAATGTGTTTCAACAGCAACTTAATTTGTATTGCGCGTTTTAATTATGATAAATTTGGCTAAAACGTGACTCGATACATGATCCCGGTTGGCTTTCACTGTTCAGAGAACATAATAGACCATCTGAGAACCCCGAGGCCACCTCATGGGCTTATGCCTCCAGGGTATTGGACCCTAAGCCTGAATCATGAATGCATGTCTTGGGGATGTTGGGCCACCAAGAAGCCTCTAAGTCCAAATCTTTGTTTGTAGTCATATTAAGCCAGTTAGGGTTATTTGTATTTGGGTAAGCTTATCGATATGCAGTAATATTGGATCTGCATCCATATCAAGCCCAACACATGAAAGAATGCTTCTGAAGCGGTATGAGCTGTTCATCAACATCTTTGTCTCATATTGTGTATAGTTAGTTTTTTTTTTTAAAAAAAACTCGTATTTAGAAGTTTATTGAACCCTGATTAATCTGGTCAAGCTGGTTTAGCTTATTGAGAGGTAAAGCTCTTACAGCGATGATTACAGGATAATGTGTTTCATTCACAAAGCTTGAATTCAAGATTTTATTTAAGAGAAAATCACTCCAACCAATGATCCATGATTGGTATTGTGTATACCTAATTTGAGATTAAGACTGTATTCTTGTCTAAAGCCTCACTAAGAAATAATGGAGTCTTGGCAAGTAAAAGTTAGCTCCAGCACCCTTGCATTAACACAACAAATGTTTTTATCGTTACGGAATGAAAAGAAAATGTTTTAAAGATCATGGAATGCCTTCTCGCCAGGACTTTCTTTTGTTTGACGTCATAATAGATCCACAAGTTAGAAGTCTTCCTGTTTGCATTGTGAGCTTCACAGTTATTTGTGTTTGCGTTTGATTCTGAATATCTTTTATTTTTTATAATTTTAAATTATTTTAATATGCTAACAAAAATAATAAAATTTTAAAAAATAAAAAATATTATTTTAATATAAAAATATTTTTAAAAAACAACGTTATCCTACCCCAAACACTATCTTTTTTATCTCCCTTGGCATCGAGTCCTCCAGCTCCACCAACCGGTGCTCCTGCTCCAAGTTTGGGTGCTTCTTCTCCTGGACCCGTGGGAACCGATACGGTAAGTCCTTTGATCCCCCATTATGTTCTCATTTTTTTTATAGAAATACTCATCTGTAAATTTGTTTTACCGTTTGGATTTAACAAATATGAACACTCATTTATTAAAAAGAAAAAAAAGAGAAGAAAACAGACCAGTCATATTAATTTATCGGTGATTTTAATATCAGATCTACCTCGCTCATCTCTTGCATTTAAATGAATATCGCGTTGTTATTTTTTTTTCAAAACCTGGTTGGTGTCATTGTAGCACGGAGTAGTTGATTTAGTTAGGAACCGGCGTAATGTAGAGAAAATATAGTATTGTTTGCTGTTGTAAGCTGGAGTATCGTTTGTGTTTTGTGGTGTCCCAAAGCGGCCTCGACGGTCTCTGGCTTTGGTTCTGTTCGTCTGTGTGCTAGGGCTGTTATCCGGTGTGGATATAACTACATTAAAGCTTAAGAGTTGTGAACCAATCAGTAGTTTACAGACCTGATTTAAAAGTCAGTGTTTGGCCTGATTTGATCGGCCTTGATGTAACAACGTGGAGGAATCAACGCTATTTAATCGAAGGTAAATCTTCTCCCTCTTTAGGGAAAACTTGAAAGAGCAAGTGTCGTTGCAATAACGCAGTCGGGTGATTTCACGTGATTGCTGACAAAATGCAATAAAAACCATAATTTAAGCCAAGGAAACGAGGAGTTTTATTGAAGGGTCACTGAAGTCTCTGTGTGGACGAGGAGCACGAGACACAGAATCCCAAGGACTGCCTGCACTGTCCTTGGGGGGAGGACCACCCCTCCTCTGCTCTAGTGCAGGGTCATACGCCCTAGAACATAAATTAAATTGATCTTAGTGCCTTGATTTAAGGGGGTTAGAAATTCGAGTCTCGTAAAATCTCTGGGCTCAAGATAACTGCCCGAAGGCCTGATCTGGGTTACATTTAACGGGCTTTAAATGATTTATATTTGGGCCTTAAAGTTAAGTGGGTCCAAGTTAACTTGCTAAACTAGGTTTGGATATGCGACTGTTGGTTCCCACGCTTTCTTCATTGCATTGCTAGAGGTGCCTTTCAAGCCTATATATAAATGTTGCGTTTTGATGTTTTAATTTGATTTGTTGCAAAACTTGTGGTGTGGCAGAGCGGAGCGGAGAAGATGTGGTCATTGCAGAAGGTGGTCGTGAGCGTGGCCCTTGGATCAGCTTTCTGGTTGCTGCTCTAGACATGTCATCTCTTTGTCTCAGTTCTTCGTCTTCCTCCTCCTATTGTTGTTATTATTATTATTATTATTATTTCCAGCGGTCGTCGTCTACATATATTATTTTGCTGCCATTTTAGCCCCTGCACGGTGATGAGCCATTTAATCACCTGTGCTGAGCTACATGTTACACATTCGGTTGGATTCTTTGGGTAGATTTTTTGAGGGAAGCTTTTGCATCGGAGGGGAGTTATTTTGTATCTGGGATCGTTGGTAGTCTCCTCCTTCACTCATTTAAATTTCCCTAATTAGTATTCGCCTATTCATTTATTTTTCATTTCTTTCTTCTTTACATGTGCGTTTTCGATATAAGCAATAGCTTACGGCTTTTAAAACGGGTCCTTCCAAGGCTCGTCTCATTACAAATACCAAGCTCTCAAACGACCGCATTTTATAAATGAATTTTTTTTTTTTTAAAAAAATGTTATTTTAATATATTTCTATATTAAAGAGTAACCGTTAATCAATTCCAAACGTAAACAGGATCGATTTAAAGAGCTATTAAGATTAATGGCCCTTTCTCAGCTTAATGGGTTCTTCTCCGGCACCAACCTAAGGTTTGGAAATAAAATTAAATATAGGTTGTTTTCTGGGCGAGGTGAAACTCTCGGAAGAGAGATATCAGGAGGGTAAGACTTAAGGGTGTCGATGATGTAAGAGGAGTTTTAACTTTTAAGAATGCTGTGTACAAATCGAAGATTTTATGATTGGTTTAAAATAATTATAAATAATAAATAATTGTGCTTCACAATAAGAAACAAAAGTACAAAAAAATAAAAAAATAAATTAGGATTAAATTAAAAAATCCGTGAGAAAATCACGGAGACCGCTTCTTCTTCCTTTTCCTTTAACAATCCTTTAATAAAAATAAATTAGGATTAAGTTTGGTGTACTAATAAGTGAAAAATCTTTTCATGTAATTTCTCTTTATGGCGGACACAAGTCAAGCCTATATAGGGCTCGCAGGGTGGGTGCCCCTCGCCTAGTCTAACTCCTGATTGGTTATTCTTAAAACGTTTCGAGCAGGGCTGTCACCTGCCAGCCTCTGGTAAGGTTGTGGAATCATTGCATTTGCTTCAACTCTGAAAGATCCTACCCTATCCTGCCATCAACCACGAGCACCCATTAAACGACAAGGTAATAGGCTACAGAGTTGAACAAATTTGATTTCTAGTCTTGTCAATCTGGTGAAGATGCTGTGTACTGGCAATACATTGTTACGTCGGCAATTCACTTCTACATGGTTTGGAAGTACAAGGTTAGCTATAAAAGTAAAAGGCGAGAGGGTTTTTGTAATAAAAAATTATTTTTATTATTTTCTAGTTCAGAAAAGAAAGAGAGTTAAATGCATTTAAATAGTTGAGAATAACATATTATTAATACTAATTTAATATCTTTAAAATAAATAATATTTGAGTCATATAATTTTATTTGATTATAAAAATTTATATCATGTGTTTTTTTTCTTTATTTTTAAAGTTTATAAAAAAAATCTCTGAATTTGAGTTGATTTTAGGAAAGATTCTTTAAGGTTTATCATGATTTTTGAGGAGTTTTATAGGTATTTTGAGTTAAAATATATTAATTTTTTTTAAAATAAACTTAAATTTATTTTTTGACTTTATATAGAAAATTCTCTGCTCATGACAGAATGCAAGTTGCATAACTAGTTTAAATCTATAAGATATAACTGCTTAGAGGTCTCAATTATCAACTCCCCCGTGCTAAAAGTTTTGTAGTTCATTGGATAACATTATGTATTGTCCACTGAAATATAATAATATAAATCATTTAATGATTAATTTTTATATTATTTTTGAAATAAATGTAATTTTATTATAATGTTTAAAGAGTAACTAGTAATATCTTAATAGTTGTTTTTTAAAAATATATTTTTTAAAAATAAATGTAAATAAGCGAGATAAATCCCATGTGCAGATATTTTTTTTTTTTTAAGTCATTAATTTCATTCTCCCTCTCTCTCTCCCCTTTTGTATCTATCTTCTTCTTTTTTCAAGGTAATCTCAGAAAAGTACTAATAAAACATAACCGGTTACTCCCAATCACCTTAAGATTATCCTTGAGTTTTCAGATTTTCCATTCTTTTGTTCTTTAAAAAAAAAGAATTTCCGAGTTGGATTTAACACTTCAGTCTTCGAACTTGAATGAGGGAAACTGGGCCTCTGTAGCTCAAATTAAAGGGGGAAAGAAGTAGAGCTTCGGCTTTTCGGAGATAGTACCGCTGGCCCGTTAAACAGGATTAATCCTTCAGTGGGCTTTTCCATCCTTCATGGTCAGTGGAACCCTTCTTGATTTGATAATACGAGCCTAGCAGTGCCATGTTGCCTTTGTATCATCTCAAAGTTGATATTACCTGGGGCAACGTGGATATTTTAGTGTATTCAACGGTCTAAGAAATGATTTGAATAGAGTTTTTTCACTGATATATATCACACATGCAATTGATTTGTCTCAGCCCACTTAACTCTTTACAATATCGAGAAGGAAAAGATGGAGTGAATATCTATGAAAACATATTTTTTGATGAAACTAGAAACTTGACTTGATTAAAGGAAGGACACACACATCAAGATGAGGTAAATCATGGGAATTTCACCTTCTTGCATGGTCTGGTTTGAGATTTAGACTCTGGTGGTCAAAAAGAGGAGCATACCTCTTGATCTCCATGTCACCTCCTCCAAACCATTTAATTAAAACATTTTAGTCCTTCTAGATTTTACTGCAGAATTCTATGCTGGTAGACAATGTTCTTCGTTGCATGACGATATAAACAGCTGAAGAATTGAGCATCACAAACCCCCCTGTGACTCGCGGATGATATCTATATCGAACCAGACAGC